TCTGGTCGGTTTACTTAGGGTTGGCTTGGAACAAGCTGGTCGACCCATTTTCATTCTCAACCCACATCAATTTCCTTTTCCCTTTCTCTCCCCTTGCTCTGCCCATGAAATTTTTAGGCCATTTCTCACACTAGCAAAACAACGGGCTCCCTATGCGTTTTGCATTCTCCTTCCTTGCCTATCCATCTGAAATCCAAATCTAACTCGACTCGGTTCGAAATCGAATCCCTTTCTGCCCTACCCGATTTCTGCTCTCATCAGTCCTCCTCACCATCGTTGAATACATGTTCGTCAGTGTTGTTGAGATACACAACTCCATTTGGCATTTGGGACATCCAAACATACTGCCATCACATACATTTTGTCTCTCTACTGGCACCTCCCTGCAGTCCTTCTCCCCCATATTCTTTCCTTTACCGTCCGGGTTGAGGATCTCCCTCTCAGCAAGTTCGACGACTGATCTCATGATTTGCCACCATCCACCAGCTTTTGGCCTGTCCAGGATAATTATCTATTTCGCATGTTTACATCTCACTTCCGACAAAATCAGGAACCTCCCTCTTCTATTCCAACCCAACGCAATCCTGAATCGGTATCCATTCCCAACCTTGTTCCTCCCCCAGAAATCTTCCCCATTCCGCCAATAAAAGTCTTCTAACGCCTCCAACAACCACTCGACCTCCTCCTTCTCCATTGAAATTGAGACCCTGAATCCTCTTCGATTCTTGCTTATTTGCAAACCCTTCAGATCTTTCCCCTCACTCACCAGATCAAATGTTTTCCGCTCTATCATTACAAACTTGCGTCTTGTATTGCTCGTCTCAGGATAATTCTTAAGTGTTATCATGCACCTTATGATCGTATTTTTTTCCTGATCACTTTCATCCAAAAAGTTAGTGAGCTCGTCTAGTAACAACACTTTACAGGCTTCAACCAGAGCATGGACAATGGCAACCCTTTGTTTTTGACCACCACTGAGAGTTTGAACTTGCCTCTTTAGATAAGGTCATGTTCTTTTGTTACCTTTAGATGTAAATATTTCATAATATGCATGCATGCATCACTTCGCCAGCCCAAAAGTCAAGTATTGATATAGTTTCTCAATAGATGAGAAGTCTAACAAGGAAGAATACACCTAAAAAGAATTACATTATATAAATGGGCAACAAAGAGGAAAACCTAAGCCTAGAGACTCTACTCTTCTCTTCCCCTCTCCCTCTCTTCTTTATTCTTTTAACTTCCCTCCAAAATAAATTAGAGGTTCTTACCAATTTTTCACGATTGTCAATCTGCATATCCAGTCTTTAAAAAAAAATTCATATCTAGTCTTTTTGAGGCTCACTCCTTTTATTTTCACTGCAGATGCTTTTATCTTTTAGTGATAGATTCATCTCTTCTTCAATAAGAGTACATAACTTTTCTAGTAAGAGTTTATGTATTTTAACTGGGAAATGTACCCTTTGATTTAATAAGGTTAGTCTGTACATCACTACAGAACTGACAGTACAGATCCCAAAATTGAAAGATTTTGAGACATCAAATATAAAATGTGGCCATAATCCATCACAATTAGGAGGCTATTCAAGAGTAAGCAATTGATAATTACTAATAAGAAAAGTATAAATTGATTTTGATGCCATATGGTATTTTTAGTCAATAAACAAATTTTCGAAAGCCATTTAATAAGTATAGCATTGAAAGAACTTCATTGAAGCTCTACATATTTTTACCTTGATGTCACACAATCTCCCAATATAACATAATTTGAAGGAGCTTGAGGCCTCCAGATGGTAAGGTTGTTATGAGGCCCATTTTCTGCATGCATTCCAGCAAAACTAAGATTACTCAAAATTTAATATAAATTGGATAAAAATTTCTATTATTACAAGGAAAACAAAACCATAAGGCAGTTTTTTCCTGACTCAAACAAATCTAGTGCTGATGTTTCGAAAGAGAAATATAGAGTAAATAAAACATCCAGTTCTCGAGTTAAATTGGGCAAACCTTTTGGGGACACCCATATCCGGTCATAGTTGGTACAAGGAACTAGTGGAATTGTATTTCCAAACTGTAATGCTGCACATACTTGGCGCTGTAGATTGAATAGAAGGGAGATACAGCTCAAGGAAAGATGAATACGTATATCAGTTGATATCAATGATAAATTTGTTTTCTCTTTAACAGAAGTATATCCTCCCGAAATGTCAACTGGGTCAAGAATGATAAGACCAGAACCAGACTCGACAAGGAGATCCTTTAGAAGGGCTCGTATCCACATATCATTTTCTTTTGATGCATACCTGTAGAAATATAAAAACAGGGTCAAGTTTCACTGAATAGGTAAACTCTCGATTCCCAGTTGCAGAATAAAACCTTAATATAAATTTGTAATATCTTTGATTAAGTATTTAGCACTTGGTCTGATGGTCCTTGTGCTCTAAGCTGTTAAATGCATTTTAGAAAGGAGTTTCAGTAAAAACAGCTCTCAGATAGAAACAATATAATGTCTAGTAAAATGTGTAGTAAAACGCATTATCATTATAAAATGATATTATGTACTATTAATTATAGTATGGAATCAATAATAAATGTCAAGATAATAAAAAATTGGATAACAACAAAAAACAATTACAATTATTCAAATAATGTTAAGGACTATTATTTACCTCCTACATAGAAGTCATATCTCATAACTTATTTATTTCTAACTTTTGATTTCACCTTTATTAAAAGTCAAAAAAGATTTTGCTTTTATTTAAAACGCTTTTAAATTTTGGCATTTATTTAGTTTTCTGCTTTCTCACAACAAAAGCATACACATGGCCAAACAAGCACTTAGTGAGAGTAGGTGTCTTTGCCTGCATATGTGCATCAAAGAGAATCCAAGGATTTTGAAGTTGTTGAGATGACATGTAATAAAAAGACACACATGAATAGATGTGGCAAAAGACTGTAAAAGACCATAAAAAATGCTGCGAAAGTTTTTTCTTAATTAAAAAAATCGGGTAGGAAAGTATTTGGAATTATAAAAAGGCAAAAAAAGATAAAACAAGAAGAGGTATGAAAAAATGTGCATTCATTTGGTTGGAAGTATGAAAAAAGAGGAAGAAGCTTGTTTCCCCCCAGAAAAAATCCATCCACCTTACTTTTTTTTCCCTTCTTCCTTTCCCCAGCCAAATACATGACAGAAAGAAGCTTCCTTCCTGTTTCCAATCTTTCTTTCGACTCTTAGCTAATGAGTTCATTCTTCCCACATAGATCATAAATTCCCCTAAAAGAACTTGTTAACCCTAAGACTGCAGTCAAATAAAGGAAGATTTAAAGGAATGAATAAAACAGCCACTCTTACATGAAGCTGAAGTCCATTTTTGCACGCAAAAGCTTTTCACCGTAAGAGGAATCATCAAGTGATGATTTTGTACTATCGTAGAAGGTGAATTCAGGTGAAACAACCTGCACACACATAAAAAAATCTTGAATAAGGATATTTCTGCCCGCTTAGAAACTTAGATATCATAGCATATTGAAAAGGAGATGGAAAACAAGTCCCGCAAGTTTGGAAGAAAGTGATAGAAAATTTATCAGGTCAGGAACTTTATCCATCCAGAGATCCCAAACTTCATTTCTAATTTCTCAGTCCTCAAAAAGTCTCTCTACCCATCTAGTTTGGTTATCGCCAATAGAATTCCAACCGATCCCTCACAGAGTCTCTTATATCAATAGGATGAGAATTTTGTTAGTCCAACTCTTCATGTATCTGTTTGATCTTTACACAGTAATTTCTTTAGTCCTTTGCATTTACATACTAATAATCAGATATCAAACTCTCAAGTAGATCACACTTTTTCTAAAACTAGGTAAAAGAAATTATATTAAAAAGCACCAAGCAGGAGGCATAGATGTATCAAACGGTCTACGAGACAAGAATCCAATGAATACTAGGAAGTCCTGTTGGTCAGGAAGAAAATGTTTCCTAAATAAAAGAGACTCCAAAAGAATGTAAATTGTTCATTGTTCTTTTTCCTGTTGCAAAAGAAGCTTTACTAAAGGGAAAGGGAATGTACAAAAGTGGGGAAGATATCTTCCAAAGAAAACCAAAAAATCGAGAAATACAAAACCTTAAAGACAAAATAGCGATTGAATTCTATCCAAAATAGATAAAAAAAAAAAACCCCTCTGACACCATAGCCCATATTGAAGGAAAGAAAGATCCTAGCCCAAACCATGTGATGTGGTTGAAACAATGGTTGAAAAATCATGATCCCGTTCCTACAAAATAACCAATGAACCAGCAAAAGTAGCCCCATTTTTCGCTCCTTGGTCCTCCTATATCCCATAAAGTATAAAAGATAAATATATCTAGATTACAGATACACATCCACTCAACCCAAACAAAGAAAAAAATCTATTCCATAAATCCCACAACCTAGAGAAAGAGGGACACATCCCTCTTTTCTCTAAGGTGTGGGTTCTGTAGTTGAAAGAAATGCAAGGCTAAAATTGTTTTTATCTCATCTATTGCTTGGAGTAGGATGAATTACTTGGACTGGCCCAGGGGTATGGGGCAAGGTTTTCATAGGGTTTTTTTTTGTTATTTTGGAAATGGATTGGTTTGAGTTATTATGTTGACTAATATTTTTCTTTTTCTTTTGTTTTCCTCTGTTTTAGCAGGAACGATCATTGCCCATTGATGTATGTTTCACTTTTCTACCTAATAATCTCTTTCTTCGCCTAACAAAGATGTATACATATAACTAATCTTTCCAACATCCAGTTGTTGGCTTAGTGCATTTTAAGTCCAACATTACAATGAACAGACATTCAGTCAAAGATTTTTTAAAACCACTGTTATAACTACTTATGTATTTGGCTTACACTGACAGCAAGAATTCGCTAAAGATAGCTAGAAAGTAAGAGTGCTAGATATGGTTCTAGACTCCATGGTGAGCCACAGGATTTGCAGATGGTACAGTTATAAAAGATTAAAGAAAAGATAAAAAGCATTGCAGATATTTCCAAAATTCCAGAAGAAAAGTAAGGTGTCAATAC